GGGTAAATGTTGCCCTTTTGATCTCAATATGTTGTTGTTGTTGTTCTAAGGTTTGCCTACCTCCCTAGTGTTATTTATTGTTCACCTTACAGACCTATCCACACTCATAGAAACAGATGTCAAGAAATCAAATGACCAGAGGACCCTAGGACCATCAAGGGAGAAGAATACAAGTGGAATGCAGGACACTATCTGGAGAAGCAGCAACACCTGAGATGGAGGCAGAGAGGGAGCAGCTGAGGAAAGAGAGACTCTTTCTCAGGGAAAGAGAGGGACTGAGAGCTGGCGGTCAGGAGACAGGCTTGCAGAATGTGTCCTTTGATGGTTTAATTTATTAAATATGCCTGAGTGTTTAAAATAAATAAATAAAGAGATAAAATGAATAGAGAGAAATCCAATTAACTGATGGTACATGGAGAGGATTACAATCATTGTATGTGATTTGTTGAATGTAAAACTGATGATCTGCCCTGTAAACTTTCACTCAAATCACAATAAAAACTTAAAAAAGAAATCAAATGACCTACTGTATTTGGAATATCTGCTGCACAAGACCTCTTTAAAGTGTTCAAGAGCAAAGATGTCAGTTTGAGGACTAAGGTGCACCTGACCCAAGCCAGGGTATAACTTCATATGTATGTGAAAGCTGGCCAGTGAATAAGGAAGACCTTAGAAGAATTGATGCTTTTGAGTTTTGGTGCTGGAGGAGAATATTGAAAGTGCCATGGGCTGCCAAAAAAACAACAGATCTGTGTTGGGTGAAGTACAGCCAGAGTGCTCCTTGGAAGTCAGGGCGGCCACACTTGTCTCTCATACTTTGGACATGTTGCCAGGAAGGATCAGTCCTTGGAGAGGGATATCACACTGGGTAAAATGGAGGGTCAGAGAAAAAGAGGAAGACCCCTAACGAGATGAATTGGCACAGTGGCAGCAGTGATGGGCTCAAATGTAGCAACGATTGTGAGGTTGGTACAGACCCAGGCAGTGTTTTGTTCTGTCAGTACCGACTCCATGGCACCTAACCGCAACAACAGCAAATAGACCTCTCTGTTGTTTGGCTGAAACTTGAGCCTAGGGGGTGACGGGTGAGTGAAGGCCAGGGTCTCGGGTCCTCCAGGCTCTATCTGGCCACTGGTCTTTTTTATGGTGTTGAGTTTTGTTCCACATTTTCTCCTACGCTATCCAGAACCTTCTAATGTGATTCTTTCAGAGCAGTTGGGAGTGGTAGCCGGGTCCCAGAGTCATGGAGTCTGAGGTTCATCGGGTCATAAATCCATGCGTCTTTCATTTCCTTCACTCTTCTTTATCCAGACACGGAGATAGCAGTAGCAGTACCTTAGAGGGCTGCTGTAGCTCATTTCATGTCCATGTGGACTCACCTGCCCAGTGCAGCTTCCCTTTGGCTCCTGCCTAAACTGTATCTGTCTTTCCTTGAGTCTTTACTCTGATGCTTGGCCCCGAGTCTTAGTCCTCAGTCACAGCTGGCATACTTTTTTTTAAAAAATTGAGGTGAAAAATAGGTAACAAAGCATTTGCCAATTCAACCATTTTTACATTTCAGTAACACTGACTACGTTCATCCTGTTGTCCAACTGTTACCGCTATCTGTTCCCAGATTACCCCACCACCATTAACAGAAGCCAATGCTCACCAATGGCTCTCCCATCCCCCTCCTGCTGTCCCTGCTAACTGCTAATAAATTTCTGCCTGTTTCATATAAATGAGATCATACAATATTTGTTCTGTTGTGACTGACTTATTCCACTCAGCATCATTCTTATAATGATTTTTAAATATAAAATGTCTAATATTGTCTGTTCACCTGCCTCATAAACAGTAGATCACAAAAAACCTACTAAGTAATTATGTAGTGTTGATTTGTTGCTGTCGTTAAGTACCATCGAGTCACTACTGACTCATAACGACCCTGTATAGGGTTTCCAAGGAACGACTGGTGGGTTTGAACTGTCTGCTTTGCAGTTAGCAGTCAAGTGCTTATCCTACAGTGCCACACCAAGAATTCATGTAATGTTGATAGGAATTGTTTAGTATTTGAAGACTAAATAAATAGTTTGAAGTTGTCAAGGACTTCATTCTTCTTGGATCAACTATCAACACTCACGGAAGCAGCAGTCAAGAAATCAAACGACGTATTGCATTGGGCAAATCTGCTACACAAGACCTTTTTAAAGTGTTGAAGAGCAAAGATGTCAGCTTGAGGACTAAAATGTGCTTGACCCAAGCCATGGTATTTTCAATAACCTCATATGCATGTGAAAGCTGGACAGTGAATAAGGAAGACCGCAAAAGAATTGATGCTTTTGAGTTATGGTGTTGGAGAAGATATTGAAAGTGCCATGGGCTGCCAAAAGAACCAATAGATCCGTTTTGGAGGAAGTACAACTGGAGTATTCCTTGGAGGCCAAGATGGCCAAACTTCATCTCTCATACTTCAGACATATTGTCAGGAGGGACCAGTCACTGCAGAAGGATATCATGTTTGGTAAGGTGGAGGGTCAGAGAAAAAGAGAAAGACCCCCAACGAGATGGATTTGCCAAGTGGCAGCATTGATGGACTCAAGCGTGGCAACAGTAGTGAGGTTGGCCCAGGATTGGGCAGTGTTTCGTTCTGCTGTGCATAAGGTCTCTATGGGTCGGTACCAACTCGATGGCCCCTAACAACAACAACATAATAAATAGTGGGGAAGACCCCCAGAGAGATGGATTGGCAAAGTGGCAGCATCAATGGGCTCAAGCGTGGCAACAACTATGTCTCGGATTTCAGATAACGGATCACCCTGTGGGGGACTGTGGGGGCTGAAGAGTTCTCTTTTGGTCCTGCTGAGAAGGAGATTCCATGATTGCCAGGTGGAGACATCCATTTAGCAGGTGGGGACATGTAGAGAGGGCTGGGTTGAAAAACACAGATCTGGGACACAGTCACACAAAGGCCGGAATAAAGTTATGAAAGTGGCTGAGATCACAAAGGCAGAGAGTCAAGGTGATGAGAAACAGAGGACCAAGGGCAGAGAAGATCTTCCGTTTCAGGTTCAGGGAAAGAAGTCCTTTAAGGAGTGTATGGGAGCAGGCAGAGAGGTGAGAAGAGAGACTAGCGTGCTGGAGTGCAAAGGTGTGTGTGTGGGGGGGGGGAAGTGGGGGGTAACACCCAGAGGATGCTGCAAGACTGCTGAGCTTCACTATAACCCCACTGGTCATTGGCAACCCCATTGAGAGCCATTGCCGAGAGAGTTGAGATCGAAAACCATACTTTGGTTGGTGGCAAGGAAGTGTGTAGACAACTGTCCCAGGTCCCTTGACTGAGAAGACTCTCCAAAATTAAATCAGATAGAAAGATGGCGTCTCTTTTCCTTCCAGGTCATGCCCTACTGCTTATCATGGGTGCAGTTGTCATGTTAGGAATGCCAGTGACACCAGAGAGGACGGACTCAGTGGAGAAGAACTTTTACCACGTGACACTTTCATGATGACACTTGAGACCAGGCTGGTGGTGCTCAAGGCTCATCACGACAATGAGCAGCAGCACCCTCCAGGGGCTGAAGGCCACACGGCTGAGCTCACCCAGGACCTTGACCGGACAGGGACCTGTGACAGAGCCAGCTTTCCTGATGACAGTCAACCTCTCGCTTGCCGCAGCACAAACTGGGCCCAAGAGAGTGGACTGGTTGGTACAAAGCACCATGGGAAAACTGGGAAAGAAGGGAGTCATAGTCTTTGGGGAGGGAGGAAGGGGAGCAGGTTAGGAAGATTGTCTGAGTGGACTTCATTATATTCATCCTGTTGTACAACTATTACCTCCATCTGTTGCCAAATTATTCCACCCAGGAGGTGATATCTGAACTGAGTTTTGAAGTAGCCTTATGAGTTTTCTCATACAGCTACTTCAAAACTTTCAGGCAAAGGATCAGAACATGCAAACGTTCAAAGGTATGAGATGCTCCAAGAAGGATGGGGTAGAGTGAGTTAAGAGGACCTTGAACTTTTGGTACCTAGTGGGTGGTGCTTCTCAACTTCTCACCTCAACGTGCTTGGGGCTTCTCACTGTGCAATAGGAGGTTTTTGTGAGTTTGGGAAACATCCAAGTCCCTACAAGGAAACCTGTTCCTCACCCAGGAGTTAGGCTGTAGGTTTTGAAATCCTATTGGATTTTCAGTAGAGAAGACACCTGGCATGATTTAAGTTTTAGGAGGATGGTTCTGGCCAAGTGTGGAGGCTGGACTGAGGGGGGCTGAGATTGAGGCAGGGTGTCCCATGAGGGGTTCTGCTCCAACTTAAGAGAGAGGGGCTCAGCATATACTCTGTCCATGTGTCCTCTGTCTAGAGAACAGTGACTGGGGTTGGAGGAGGGAAGGGGGACAGGCCGAGATGGCCACCTGGACATGGAGTCCAGGCTGGTGGTGTTCCTAGTTGGTCCCCACAATGAGCAGGGCACTGGACTACAAGGGGTGTATCCAAGCTTGCAGTGGGTGTGACCTGTGGACTCTGGTCTCTGTTGTGATTGGCTAGATAATCTTGGACCAGTCACTCCCTGCCCCCTGCCCTGCACCTCTTCTAGAAAACGAGGTAACTCCCTCGACAGGGTCCCTAGTTACTGGGTTGGGGAATGTTTGGGTGAGAAGATGCCATGGGTGGGTGTGGCAGTACTGTCATTGTAACAGTCTGGACCCAGGGCCCTGCCTCCTTCTTCCTCAATCCCTCCCTGGCCAGGCCCTCCTGAAGTAGGGGTGGAGGTGTCCAGGCTTGTCTTGTCCGCTACAACCAATTGTTCTCTTTAGACCCCTCCCTGATGAAGCTAAATCCACAAGGCCTGAGATTCTGCCCCCAAACCTGTTCAACCAGTTGTCTGGGAGGAGGGGGCACCCGGGAGGGACAGCAAGAGGTGCTAGAAGCAACCTCCCCCTGCCCAGCTCAGACAGCCGAGCCTCTGGGGCTGTGGACGCCATAGACACATCCTTGGACAGATAAACGGGGGTGCTCTTGGCCTGGCCATGGGGCTCACTCGGGGACAATTTCGGCTGTTGATACCACTGCTGCTACTGCTGATGCCTGATCTCTGGTTCGGGACATGCCTGGGTGAGTGAGGGCAGGGGCCTAGGCGGAAGGCACACAGGGTCTGACTTGAGGAGGCCAGACTCACCTCTGCTGATGTCTGGGCACTGGAGGAGTCAAAAGGGGATCACAAGACAGACACCTAGCCCCTCATGCAAGGAATGCTGCCTCCCTCATTTTGAGTTCCTTGTCACCTTGCATCCTGAGTCCTCGCTCCAATTCTTACCAAATGTGCCCCCTCCTTCCCCTGACAAGGACAAAGGAACAGGGGTTTGAAATCCCAAAGGACTCAGACCTCCCACCAGGCCCCTTACCCCAAGGCAACCTTACCTCTCTCATCTACTCCTTTCTCTTCATTAAGCAAACACGAAGTGCCTACTGTATGCTGAGTGCCTGAGAAGTCTGGGAAAGGAGGAATCAAGTCTGCTTCCCCCCACTCCCGGTTAGAATTGAGCTAAATTAGGTGGAATTAAATGGGAACGAGTTACTTGTTGAGTTGCTAACCACAAGGTCAGCAGTTCGAACACACCAGTGGCTCTGCAGGAGAAAGATGAGGCCGGAAACCTATGGAGCAGTTCTACTCTACCCTACCGGGTCCTAATGAGTCCGGATCAACTCAGTGGTGGTGGGTTAAATGGGAATCAATGACACTGATTGAAAGCATGAGAAACTTCTAGAGACTTGCACAAAAGCCCACCTCATCTTTTGCTCCTCCCTAGTATTTGGGGCCGGGGAGAAAAGAGGCTTTGTGGCTCTGCTTCTGTCTTTGGGGGGTACAGGTAGGGGCTTTGAACTCTCTGAACAGCAAGGTGAACCTAGGCCACTTTGCCAAACTGGCATGTGCACTGAGGCTGCTCTTTCTGCTGTCCTCTGCTCATACTTCCCCAGCTGACACTGCGGAGGGGCTAGGAGGAGAGAACAGGTCCTCAAGGGGAGGGTGCCTTGGCACCCGAGTGGGACACAGCAGAAAACTGGGTGGGAAGGAAATGATGTTCCATACTTGGAGCCAGCCTCTGGTCCCAGAATCCCTGTCACATACGGGGTCTCAATGAGGACCTGCCCACGTTACACCCCAACACCATCATCACCACCACACACACACCTCACTCCTGCCCAAGATGTTCCTCTCACCATGTAAACCCCTATGGGTGGCAGTGAGAGGACTTGAGAGATGGGTTAACTGAGGCCCAAAGAGGGTCAGAGCTCAAGGCCAATGGGGACATCAGGAGCTTTCTGCCTGAGGATTCAGGTTCACCCCCAACCTGAGTCTCAGACCAAAGAAAAGGCCAAAGACCCCTGCTCCGGGAAAACTGTGCCTCTCCTGCCCAGTGTTGCTGGGCCCATCACCAGGGGCCCTGGGAAGAACAGGGAATGCCCTCCCATAGAGCCCACCCCTGGGAGAATCCTAAAGGCAGGGGCATGAATTTGCCCCAACCCCACCCTCAGAATGGGGCTCCCAAGACAGACCCGTGTCTCCCCGGTCAGACTTTGACTCCCAGGGCAGGGCAGGGCTTCCCTGCTCAGATTGGGCTAGGATAGACCTACCCTGTCCCACCTCTTCTCTTTGCCCTTCCTCTCCAATTCACCCACCCCAGAGCACATCAACTATGTACCCCGACTCTCAAACGCCAACCTGGCGGGAAGGCTCACGCAGTCCACCTTCACCCTGGAGCAGCCTCGGGGTCAGTTCAACCTCCCAAACATCTCTGACTTTGATGCCATCTGGCTGGTGGTGGCCCACAGCAATGGTGGGTATGCTGGGAAAGGCCTTGATTCTTCCTCTGTGATGTGGCCAGATGGGCCAAAAGAGAGCCATGAGGGTGGGGGTGTTGAAGGTCAAGGTTTAGTGGGGTGGGGTGGAGTCCTGCACCCACCATCTAACCTGCAGTGCCACCCTCAGCCACCCAGAACTTCACTGCCCCACAGAGGATGGAGGATTTTCCTGCCCCTGCTGACCTACCTCAGAAGGGCTACTACCTTACGCTGAAGGCCAACCGGGTGCTCTACCCAGGTAACCAGGCCCACAACCAGCTCCAAGTCCTCCGAGTGGGCAACGACACTGGTTGCCTCCCAACCAGAAAGGGCTGCAACCACCCCCTACCAGGCCCAGGCCCCTACAGGTGAGCGTCTCTGCCCGGTCCCTGGCTGGGGTGTGGGTGCACCCCATGCTGCCCAGCTGTGACTGGGAACACTGCCCTGTGTTTCCTACTCGAGCTCTATACACAGGAGGTTGGTGGAGTCTCCATCTTTCTTAAACAGAAAGTCCCCTCCCTGGAGCTCTGGTCCCCATGACTGGTCTGAACTATGTTAGTGGTGTCTCCCCATCTAGACTGGGCTCTCCCTAGCCCCTCCACTACTCCTATGTGCTTGATTCACTGGTGTTAGGTGTTGGGAGGTCTAACCCAGCACCCATCCACACTTCCCAAATGAGGACACCGAGACCCAGAAGGGGAGTGGTGCACCCGAGGTCATACAGCTGGGATTTGAACCCCTTCTCTGTGCTCCACCTCCTGGTGCAAGGGAGTCAAGAGGACTCAAGAGTGTGGGTCCCCCACCCTCACTGCTGGGTCTCCTGTTCAGGGTGAAGTTCCTGGTGATGAGTGATAACGGGGTGCTTGTGGCGGAGACAGAGTGGTCTAGTGAGACCTGCCTACAGCAAGGTACTGGCTTGATAAAGCCGCTCAGACACCGGGGGCTGGAGGCCAGGGTCTAGGGGGCTCGCCAGGACTGGGCACGAGCTGAGGAGTAAGTCAAGCCCACATCAGATTGCCCATGACCACCCTGCTGTCTGCAGGTGCCGGCGACTCCTCCTCAGGTCAAATATAATCTCTTCCTCTCTCCACCTGGCCCCCTCAGCGGACATCCTCCACGCTGTCCCTGGGCCACAGACTGCCAGCACTGTGGTCATTGTGGCCTTCCTGTCGGTGCTACTGGCCATACTCTTCACTGTGCTCCTGGCCCTGCTCATCTACACCTGGTGAGTGGGCACGCTGAGACTACCTCTGAGCCCTTATATTCACCCTTGGCCTCTCCTGGCCCAGGCCCCTGGGGGTCAGCTCCCTCTTGCCGCCCTTGCTGTAATCACACAGGGGTTAACAGTGTGTGCAGTGGCCGATCCGATCCACAGAATCCCAGAAACCTGCAGGACCCGGTGGGGGTTCAGGTGCCTTAATCCCTCACTGTCATCCATCTCTGCCCCACCCCCACCCCCACTTCCTGATTGTGCGCCACTCGCCCCCTGGTGGCAATAGCTGGAATTACAGTTGATGGCGGCTGGAGGTGGAGGCCAATAACTAAGTTTTCCTCAACACATCAGAGAGAACTCAGGTGCTGGGACCTGGTGCAGAGGGCTGTCTGTGGAGCTTAGAAGGGGGAAAGGGGACAGCGGAGTTGGAGGAGGTCAGGCAGTGGGGCCAGGAGTCCTTGAGGCCCCGCTGAGGAACTGGGCAGAGGAAGCCAGTGGTGGGTTTTGCTCAGGGGGAAACAAGCCTGGGACCTCTGGGTATGTGGCCAGTAGGGAGGGAGCGTAGGGGTTGGACGATGACAGACATTGGGAGGGAACATTGTGATTGCAGACTAGGAAGAAAAGCCTGGTAATCTAGTTCCAAAAACCAGCCATTGAAGCCTGAGGAACCATTCACTTCTCAGCCTGGGGATGGCACAGGACTGGGCAGTGTTTGGTTCCATTGTACACGGGGTCACCACGAGTAGGGTCCAGCTCAATGGCAGGTCACAACAACAGAGAGACAGCGGTAGCCTGGGTCCCTGGGGTCAATACGAGTGGTGCCTCCAGTGTGAAGTTACGTGCTAATTGCAATTGAAGTCGGTTTCATCTCATAGCAACCCTGTATAGGTTTCGGACCTATACGACCTATACAATGGCCATCCGTCCCAGTTCCAGGCAGTGGCTGGGAACTTCCACAGGTCCCATGTTTACAATTCTCTCTCTTTCCCCACCTCCAAGTTCCAACACCTGCAGGGGCACAACTATTTCAGGACCCAACGAGTCACTGTACATGAGGAGATATAATACTCACCACACGTTCGGCCCTCAGCCTCGGAGAACCCCCGAGAGACCCTGACAAGCCCTTGTTCCTAGTGCACGCTGCAGAGCCTGGCGTGAGGGACACCTGCAACGTCTCAGGACTGGGAGAGGTGCTTTTTCAATGAGGGTGTCATCATGAGCCCCAATGCCTGAGCCAGTCCTGTGGGAAATAAATTTCCCAACACCTCCCTGAGTGTCTGTGGTGGTACACATCTGGGTAGCCTCCCAGTCCTGGTGTGGCACTGTAGGATAAGTTAGCAGCTGCTTGCTCCTCGGAAACCTATACAGGGTTGCTATGACTTGGAATCGACTTCTATGGCACTTAATAACAGCAACAATTTCCTACGTCCTCCTCCCCCCAGCTCCTCTGGGAATGTTCTGCAGTGTTGGTGGTGAAAGAAGGCCCCCCACTGAGTTACCTGGGACTCCATGGGTCCAGTAAAGCTGAAACAAGGAAATTCCTTATAAACTGTGGGCACCGAACATGCATGAGAGGTGCCCACCTGTCCTGTAAATCAGTCCTTCTCTTAGCCAAGAGGCCCTGAGACTGTCCCCGCCCTCCCCAGCAACTTAGAGCTGTGGGTCAGCCCTTCCTCAAAATTTCCCCTGGAGATTTAAAGAGACATAGCTTCTAAATGTCACCCACCACACCTGCCACACTCCTGAGTGGGGGCCCACACAGACTCAGGTTGTCAGAGTTGGAAATTCAGCTCCAAAGCTTGGACTTTGCCTAGAGCTGACTCCAGCCCCCAAATCATTCAGGGCACACAGCACCTCACAGCTGAGCTTCCCCTCTGCCCCCCACACTCTTACTGGGGCCCCTGGGATGGCCCAAGCCAGGTTTTGCCTTCAAGATGCTCACCACTGGGAGGAAGGGCACTGCAAAGGATGGTGGAATCATGGGACTACCTTGATGAGCAGGTGGTACTAGGTGGGCCCAAGAAGGAGGCTGCAAACACCTAGGAGCATTTGGGGGCTGGCAGGCAGGCAGGCAACCCTAGAATCGAGGGAGGGAGGGGAAGGATGGAGAGCTCAGGAGGGGCCCTGCCCTCTGGGGTCAGGAAAGAGGGGTGCTGGCTGGGCTCCCAGCTGTCTGCCTGAGGGAGATGCCAGAGTCCCTAAATGGTTTATTAGCTGGAGCAGACACATCCGGCTTTGCTGCTGAGGAAATGCTCATGTGGCCCCAGGTGCCATGCTGGGGGGTGGGGATGGGGAGGGAAGTACACTGAGTCACCAAGCCTTGGTCTCTTCTCCACAGTCTTAGGGGGGCCACCAGCCCCGACCCTGGCATCAGATGGCCCTGGATAAATACATACCATCTCTGGGCCTGGTGTAAACAACGAAGCTTGTCCTCCAGCAACCTTGACCCTGTGTGGGTCAGGGTGCGGGCAGGAAACAGATGGCTGCTATCTCGAAGGGCAATTGAGAGAGTTTACAAAGGTGTGGGCAGATCCAGGAGCATCAACAAGAGAGCACAGTCAGGGACCAGTCCCCATGAGGAGCCATAAACTGTCTTGACTGAAGAGCTGAGGGGGTGGGGAGAGGGGGGTGCTACTTCCAGAACCAGGACCGGTAGTCCTGGTGTGGGCCCTCCCAGCAAGAACAGGGCCACAGGCAGAGTGCTGTGGACACTGCCCTACCGTGGTCTTCAGGAAGGGAATAAGGTAACACCTGCCCCAGCCTCCCTCCTCTTGCCATCTGGTGTCTCCATGACCAAACCTGGCCTGAGGGAGAAAGGCAGAGGTCTGGGAGGTCTGGTCATGAGGCTTACCTCCTGGGCTCAGCACAGGCTAGTGAAAGGATTAGAAAGGATTTGGAGGCCCCAGACCATCTTCAGCCAAACCTGTGACTGAGGAGAGGTGCAGACAGATGGTCACATGGGTAAATCTTTAGTTGGAGGGACCCTGAGGGGCTATCCCGAGCCTTGGAGGATAGCAGAACTTACCAGCTAGAGCAGGTGGGGTACCCAAATAAACCCTCATAGCCTTCTTGTCTATTCCTTGGGGATACCTCCTCCCCAAAGCCCTCTTGGTAGAACCTACCTTCACGTTTCAGGATTGAGAGGCAGTGAGCGTGAGGGTCCTCTTTGATCTTCAGCCCCTATTAGGAATAAAAGGCCACTCCCCTAGCCTCTTCCCCACAAGCAATTGTCCGCATTGTGGTCTGTCTCACCCAATCCCTCGTCTCCTCAGATTCATCCCCTCCAGTGCTCTGTGTTCACTAATGACAACTCCCTCAGCTGTCCTCATCCCCTGGCTGTCTCTGACCAAGCATCCCAGAAGCCCCTCATGCCAAACATACGACCCCCCACAGAAAATTCTAGAGCTGCCCCCAACCCTGTTTCTCCACCTGGTTCCCTGGGCCTTGAGCACCCAGGCTGAATCTGGGGACACAAGCCCTACGTCTTCATGTGCCACCTTCCTCAGATCTGTGCCACCATTCTGTCCTAATCCTCATATTGGTTTATCACAACAAATCACACCATAGGGCCGCAAACCACCGAGAATCCTGGTCCAGCCAAGTTGACCCAAAGCCTTAATGATCACAACCATGAAATGGGAGTCTTAAAACAAATCAAATTTATTCTGTCACAGTCCTGGAGGCCGGAAGTCTGAAATGAAGGTGTGGGCAAGGCCATGCCCCCTCCGAAGGCTCTTCCAGCTTCCAGTGACTTCTAGATTCTTTGGTTTGTGGCTATATCACGCCTGTGACCACTTTCTCTTCATGAATCTTCTCACTATGACACCAGTTGCTGGACTTAGGGTCCACCCTAAACCCAGGATTACTTCATTTTGAGATCGTTAGTCAATTACATCTGTAAATAAGGTCACATTCTGAGGTTCTGGGTAGACTGAATTTCAGGGGAAAGGAGAGGACTCTCTTCGGCCTACCTCACTCCTCCAACCTGAGTCCCCATTAGAAAAATCTCTGCCTGAGCTGGAGAGAAAGTCCATTTGCCTATGGAACTGAGTGGAAACTCCTGTCCAACCATGACCCTAGGGTCCCTGGGTCCCTTCCCTATTCACTCATCCCCCCGATTCATTCATTCCCTCACTCAGTAGACAGGCCCTGACTTGAGCCAACCAGACTGGGCAGTAAGACTAGATGTAATCCTCACACTGAAAGATTGCCCCCTCCTCAGTGTGAGGTGAGTCCTCACGGGATGGAGAGGTACATGAAGGAAGGGCAAGAGGCCAGCAGGTAGAGGGTATAAAGGGTCATCCCAGGGCCGGCACAGAACCTGGTAAGGGTGCCTGGCCGCTCCCACTGACCACAAAGTGTGGTCAAAGCAGCCCACACAGCACTCCAACTCCCCAGAGACCAATCCGAGGAAAATAGACTTGTGAACAACAAGACGGCACCACAAAACAAGCCCAGGTTAGCCTGGGAAGGAGCAAGTGGATGGGGGCAGGGACCTGGTACGTCTCTTAAGACTTCTGTTTGTCCTTCATTTCTTTGTCCTCTGTCTTGTCCTTCTGCCTGCTTCTCACTCCATCTCTTATCTCTATTTTTAACTTTGAAAAGCTGTGGGAACTCGCTTTGCTTCCTCAGGGGAAGCTGTGTGAACAAGCCCCGCAATGGGCACCAAGGTTTTCAAATAAACAGATAAAACAAGAGCACAGCCTTTGTTCCAGGTATGGGCCCAGGAGGGCAAAGGGGCAAAAATGCAGCTTAAAGGAGAAGGGGGAAAGAAAGGAGGTCAGGGGAAAGAGACCAGGTGCCAGAGAGGGACAGAAAGACCACCCTGGAACCCCTCCCCACTGACCATGCCCACAGTCTCACTGTTTCCATGTCCTGACTCACCCAGCTTGTCCCCCACCCTGCAGCAGGATGACTTGAGTGGACTGTTCCTTTTCTTCCTCCTCACAAGTGGGTATTTGCAACCCTGTTTGGCCAGAGAGCTGGGACTCTCTTGGGAACCCTGGGTCACATGGAGGGGTCTGAAGGCTCCGGCTTGAGTGAGGGTGGGTATTAGAAGTCGATGTATTATTAGGCGAGAGGGACTATGAGGCCAAGGAGCCAAAGGAGTCAACTCCTGAGGGAGTTTGACTGGGGTGGGGGATGCTTCTAGGTCTGACCCCATTAGACTAAGCTCCCAGGGAACATTTCTACCTCAGAGATAATGATGCGGCCAGTATGACTTGGAAGAGGGGTCCCAGCCACCCTCTATGTCCCCACCCCCACCCCGGCTCTGAGGGTTGACAGCCTCTCAGGACCCATTAGTGAGCCCCAGGCTGTTACTGGGACTTCCTGGGGGGTTTTCAGGGATGTTGGAGACTTGGTGTTATAGAGGTCCAAGATGCCCTACTTACTGGGCAGGGTCTGAGCTGCCCAGAGTGTGCCCTGAGGTCTCTGTGCCCGCAGGATGGTGGCCCTGGGCTCACACGCCATCCCTGTTAGCCTCATCCCCTTAGCCCAGAACTCAAATCCTCCCCATCCATCAAGATGACCCAAACATCATTGTCCCTACCAACCACCTTTCCTTAGCAGGTAGTCTCTTCCTCCCGAGAAACAGCACGGCCTCCTCTAACTTCACAAGGGGAGAAAAAATCACCATGAACATCAGCCCAAGGCTGATTCCTACGAAATAGAGATCAGACATAACCTCCTCTCGCCAACATCCCTCCCACAACACTTTCTACAAGGTAGCTTCCAAAAATGTGTAGAAAAATGAAATTGAAGGATTATGGAATTTTTGCATGAAATTTCTGAAGCTTCCTTGTACTTCTGTTTGGAGTTTGATCATTTGTTGCAATGGCCACACAGAATGTACAGATAATAGTCATGAGAATGGAGTTTATTAGGGAAGGAAGTGTTTACAGTTCAGGATGAGAACTGACTCGGGATATAGTTCTTTGATTAGGGCATTCTCTTCTTAGTCATGCCTGCAGGCAGTCGCAAGGCCCGGTGGGCAAGTGCAACAAAGCTCTTTAGCTCCACCAATAAGTGTCCAAAGCACCCAGCTCTGTTAGCGAGCCTCCTGTCCAAGGGTGCTCAGCTCTCCCACTTGCCCACAGCAACATCTCCTAGAACAGC